ACCAAGTGGCTATGAAGTGAGCATTCCCTGACCCCCTCCTTAGCCCAGTGGGTTGCTCAGTGCTCAGGGCCACTCCCGTGTCCTGGGGCCCATAAAGGTGGACCAGTTGAGGGTGCACGGGGCAGGGCGTGGGACGGCCTGGGGGTTTTACGGGGGCTGCCTTGCGAAGGTGTGACCGTGACACTCCGGCCCTGTCCTCCCCACACAGAGCCGGCACGCACGCCGTCCTTCACGCTCCGCACCCTGGAACGGCACCGCCTGGTGGCAAACGAAGGTCAGGATGGCTGGGAGGGTGGCTGGGCCAGACCTCTGCTTCCAGGTTCAAGTCCCAGCTCCGCCCCCAGTGTGGACCGGTGGGCACTCCTCCGGGTGGGGGCTGTACCCCGCGGAGTTAATGACCGCTCGCTGTGTAAGCAGAATGGGGTCAGAGGCCACAGGGTGGGTGGGCCGAAGCTGGGCCCACGCCCAGGAGCCCGGGACTCCCTGCGGGTCGGGTCGCCGTGTCCCTGTCCGCAGCGCAGCTCCTGAGGCGCCGTGCCTTCTCGTCCACTGGCTGGGGGAGCGGCTCCTTTCCAAGCAAGCACCTCACAGGGCTCTGGAAATGGGTGGGCAGTGGGTTCCTCATGGAGCGGGGGTGCACCCCTGCTGGGACTCCTGCCCGTCACCCGGCCCCTCTGAAGTGCCAGGAAACGGGGTACGGGCACCCTGCAGACGCGCCCTGGGCTGTCTCCCACGGTGGTCACGGGTTCCAGGGCCGCCTCCTCGTACCGTGCCCATCTGACGGCCAGCGCCAGCCGAGCTGCGCCACGAAGCGGGCCCTGGAGACCCGGGCCCTTGCCTTCCCAAGTCCCCACAGGAGCCTGCCTCCTCTCAGCTCTGCCCTCCTGCGGGTGGGCGCCGCCCCGGCACCTCCATGGGCCAGAGCCTGGCCTGCCTGTGGGCCCCTCCCCGACCCAGGCCCAATGGTTGGAGGGGGCGGCCCCGGGCTGCAGGGTCCCCGCCCCACGGACTCTGCCTGCCCAGTCCCTTCCTGACCTCCCCACAGTGCTGGCCGCTCCTCCCTCCCAGCCAGACATGTCCAGCCTGCAGGCGCTGTGCTCCGGCCTGCCCCTGCGGCCCCTCCCTGAGAACCGCGGCCGCTGGCCTGGGGTGCCCCATGCCCCAGTCCGGACCCCCAGCCTCAGCCCTGCAGAGGAGCAGGTAAGGAATCTGCTCTGGGGCCTGGGGCCCCGCCAGTGCCTCCAGCCGCTCGGTGGTAGCCCCGCTTCCTGCTGTTCCTGAAGGGGACATCCTCCCCGGGGTCCCATCTTCCTGCTGTCCCTGAGGGGACAACCTCCCCGGGGTCCCTTCTTCCTGCTCTCCCTGAGGGGACACCCTCCCCGGGTCCCCCCTCCCTGCTCTCCCTGAGGGGACACCCTCCCCGGGGTCCCCCCTCCCTGCTCTCCCTGAGGGGACAACCTCCCTGGGGTCCCCTTTTCCTGCTCTCCCTGAGGGGACACACTCCCTGGGGTCCCCCCTCCCTGCTCTCCCTGAGGGGACACCCTCCCCAGGGTCCCCACCCTCGCTCTCCCTGAGGGGACAGATGCAATGCACTTGTCGGGTGTGGCCCCTGGGGTGCAGGACTAATCCCCATTTGGGATGGACGCTGTGCTCAAGGTCACCCGGCCACGGGCAGGGGCACTGTGGCCACCTCCTGTAGGAGGAGTGGCGGCCAGGCGTGAAGTGCCCTGACCTTGCCACCCGGCACCGGGCGTGGCCTGAGCGGGCAGTGGACCAGCACCCCTCGGCCTCCCTGCCCTGCCTGAGTCCTGGCAAGGCTGGCAGAGCTCCTGGCCCCTGCCGGCCCCCTTCCCCAGCCTGCGTCACTCCTGCGTCACTGCCCGCCCGGGAGCCCCACTTTCCTTTGTGAGCTGGGGAACACATCTGCCCGGTGGCTGGGAAGGGACCGGGAAGCCCAGTGGGCCGCAGGGCTGGCAGCTTCCTCCCACCCTGCCCTTAGTCACGCTACCCTGGAGTGTCAGAAGTGGCGGGAGCGCCTTGGGGGAGGCGGGAATAGAGAGGAACAGACTAGAAGCGGCCCCCACCCCGCAGGTAGGCCACTGCCCTTTGGACAGCAGCGGTGGGAGGGCCAGGGGGATGGGTCCCTGGGGAGGTGGCTGGAGGGGGTTCACAGGAGGGTGGGGTGGGGCTGAGCGGGCAGGGGGCGGGCCTGCCCCCCCTCCCGGAGGTGGGGCAGTGGCCATTGTTTCTCCGACTGGTTCCTGCTGGGCACTACAGCTCGACCTTGGGCCCCGGGGCACTGGCCCCACACACCTGGGACACCCGTGCTGGTGGGACAACCTCCCGCTGGGCGAGCAGGAGCTGTGGCCCGGTCTGCCTGGAGGACACGGGGCCGGAGTAGGGCCACGCGAGTGGCGGGGCTGGGGCTGTAGAAGGGGACAAGTCTTCCTTCTGGGTTCCGGGTCGGCCCCAGTGGTCCCAAAACCCGGAGTGGGCTCAGTGGGCTCAGGGGCAGCTGCTTTAGGCTTGCGCCTGGCTTCCGGCTTTCAGTTAGACGTGCGTATACGTCTGACGTAAGTGCTCACAGGGGTTTCTGAAAGATGAGACGCTAAGGGCCGGCACGTGGCACGGTGGTTACGGCGCTGTTTGAGTCCCAGGTTTGAGTCCCAGACCTGGCGTCCTGCCTTCTCTATTTGTGGTGAGAGCATATGCCCTGCAGCAATTACAGAGAGGAGAAAACCAAGTTAAATAAATCACTCTTCACAAACAAGCTCAATGTCGCCAAGTGTGAGCCCCAGGTCCCCGAGAGCCCCTCTGGCGGACCCTCCCAGACAGTCTGTGCGCTGAGCGGCCGATCCCGGCCATCCTGGCTAGAAGCCCGCGCCCCGCCAGGCCTGCTCTCCCCGGGTGGCTCTGCTGGCCTGCAGGGGCTTTCCTTGTTCGGCTGAACTGGAACGCTCTTCAGCCTCGGTTCTTCTGTAAGTGGACGTCTCGCACCGGGGCCTGGCCTGCCCACCGTGTCTGGGCCAGTGTGCCCTCAGAGGGAAGGGGACAGAGTGGTGTCCAGTCACTGCCCGCTGGGGAGCCCCACCAGGAGTGCCATCAACAACCTGTCCTCCAAGCGCAACGTCCCCAGCACTCTGTCCCAAGCCTCCCCCTACCCAGGGGCAGCCCGTGGCCTCACACCCCAGATCTGAGGCCCCTCTGGTGGCCGCGCCCCCAGCCCTACTAACGCGGTGTCCTGGGGCCTGCCCAGATCCCTGCTGGGTCTGCAGTGACAGGAGCAGGTGTGTGCTCTGGGGAGCTGCAGAAGAGCACGCCGAGCTGAGTGCCACCCCAGCACCCTGAGGCATTCGGCAGGCAGAGAAAACCAGGAGGGCTCCTCGCAGGAGGTGGCTGTGGCAGGCTGGGCAGGGTTCCCAGGCCAGGAGAAAAGGAAGGACAGAGAAAGGCCAGATGGGTGGAGGAGGCCCTGTGCGGCCTGCGCTGATGCAGGGCGTGGAGAGCCCGGCCCGACTCCAGAGGGCCCTGAATGCCAAGAACAGTGAGGACCTCAGAAGACGGATAGGAGCCCTAGCGGCTTTGGCCTCTGCATAGCTCTGGGCACCCCGGGGCAGAGCAGGCCCAGAGCTGTGGGGGCTGGCCCTCACACGGCCTGTAGGGATGTCCAGTAGGTGGTCCCTGAGTCCCCCATGAGACCAGGAAAGTGAGTGGGGGCGTGCACCGCGGGTGGCCCCACATACAGACTGATACACGCTCCGCCCCTGTGGGCACCCCCCCCAGACCCTGCTCGGACCAGGACGCTGGCCGGCACCTGCCTCTCCACTCAGTTAAAGCTGGGCTTGGTGGGGACGCGGCAGCCAGAAAGGCTCCCCA